CTATTTATAATTAGTAAGCATAATTACTGATATTAATTTATCTTTTTGTGACAGAATTTATTAATATTTACCGATTGAACCTAACCTCGATTAAAAACTCATTCATATCACGAAAAGCTCGTACTCTCGAGAACCAATTGGATCAGAAAATTTAATTCAAAATTATTCGTATGAAGAAGATGCAAATTTAACAAAATTTAATCACTCCCTATAAAGAGCGAAAGCCTGTTTCCTAACCTAAAAACCTTCGTCCCAAGATCCATTATATATCCGAACTTTATTGGAAATTTATTCGCGAAGAAAGTACAAATTTTCCCTATTAACGAACCTTACAGAAGAGGAGGCGAGAAGGATACAAGGATGCAAGAAGAGCGAAAGCCTGTTTTCGCGACGCGAAACAAGATGGCGTCGAGCCGCATCCGTTCCTCCATTCTCCCAGCTTAATTCACCCTTGTCTCCCCTTGCTTTCCCCTCCCTCCTCTTCTTTTTTTTTTGGAATACGCCCATGGAATACGTAACGCCTGTGATATATGCACGGATAACGCATCTGGATCGTTCAAACGCACGAGTCGAACAACGGAAAGTCCACCACCCCTGGTCGACTATTAGCATATCAAACCTCTCGTTACACACTGGACCCTATTTTCGAGGAGACGATAATAAAGGAAGGAATCGATGGAAACTCGGTTAAAAGCGAGTTTTTAGGGCTGGTTGATTGGATAGTTTGGGAATAATGGGGTGTTGTGGAACACCGATTTGCGAAACTGGTCTTCTTGAAATGGAGCGGCGGTGTCGGAACGGTTTCGATGGTGTTTGCAAGGTGAGGATTGATTTAAGTAAGGGGAGGTTAGGTGGTGAGATAGGATCGAAGATGGTGGAAACGAGGTTTGAAGATTTATGGACACCTTGTTAGGATACTTGGCGTCTCTGGTTGGAGCTTCTAGGTTATTACCTCAAGGCGAGATTTTGGTATTGCAGTTTCGATTCTTCGGGTGATAAAATCTTGGATTATTGGTCGTTTAACTTGAAATCTCATTTTGAGGATGTTCTACAGAGTTGTTGGCTATTTCGTGAAATTTACTACTTTCTTTGGAATTTTTACTTTTACGCTAGAATATTGTATGATTGATGTTTACTTAATAGTATATACCGTTGTTAAATAATGGATAATAAAATAGATATATTGTGAGGAATAAATAGAAATTTTGTTTTAAAAAAATTAATTTACATCCAAATTTATTAACGAACGATAAAATTTTTATTATATAAGCTTTTTGATTTCTCTTTTCTTTTCTTTTTTTTCTTTTTTTTTTTTTTTTTTTTTTTTTTTTTTTTGCCGAATGAAAAATTTGTCAAAAAGTAAAGAATTGTAAAAATTGTCGAATCTATCAAGTGAATAACAGTGTTATTCAAAATCGGGAACACGTTTAAAAAGATTTACTCGTCGAAAGAATCAATTGAAGAAATCTTGTAATAAGAGGAAAGTTCCAACTTTCTTTCTCTCTTACTTTGTTGCTTTTTATAAAACTTGAAATTGTTACAAATAAAAATATCCATCTGCTGCAAAAAAATTCTCAATTGCAAATTAATATTAAGCAAATTCGGAATGCATGAATTAGACAAGCTGTGTGAAGTTTTGTTTACAGATAATTGAACATCTATTCTCGTTAAACAAGGTAATTTGATGCCAGATTCGCACCTTGTGTTGTAATTATCGTTCTAATTATCGAGTAATTATCCACGAAGCATGGCAACCAATCCGATTTTTGCAAATCGTTTTGACGGAAATAATTGTTCACAGACGTCGAGATTAATCATCAGGCCATCATCGTCTCGTGTACTATTTCCACGCTGTTAACTTACTAATCTTTGATCAAATTTAATTGTACGACATTCGATCTGATCAAGACTGCACGCCATGAAATTACATCGAATTTTATTTTATTTTATTTTTATTTTTTATTTTTTTTTTTTTCCTTTTGTCGAATCTGAGTACTCGAATAATTGTTAAAATGTTTGTCGAGGATGATGAAAATAAATTATAATTGTAATTACGATAATAAATTTTTGCTGTATCTGATTATATGCTTCTTCTAATCTTTCTATCTATATTTATACTGGGTTATAAATTTTACACCTGGATGGAAATTATTTAAATAATTGTCAGTAAAATTTCTATATTATTTTATCTTGGATTATATACAGAAAAATTTGAATAAAACTTTATGAAACAATTTATTAAAATTATTATTTTAACACGCCGCGAAAGAATATTACTATTTTGACTCTTCTTTCGTTCATTATACTATTATTCATGCAAATAATAATTAATCCTTTAAAAAATTTTTTTATAAAAATTTAAGATATTAATAGAAATAAATATAACTGATTAAATTTGCAAATTATCCAACAAGTATAATTAAATGATTTTTAAAAGAGATCATAAAATATCAAGAACGAAATCCAAATGATATTCAGATGACAAAACAGGTTATTTCAATTCCTCACAAATATCTCCAGCACAAATATCCCCTTTAAAAATTACATTAATTTTAAGATTTGACGAATTAACGAAAGATTGTAACAGAGTTGGAACTCGAGGGTTGGAAGGGGTTGATCCTATATCGAATAGATGGAGGATGTTACCTGCGTTTCCGTCAACGAGAGCGCCTGCGCCAGCTGCTTCCTCTCCGCGCCGACGACGTAGTGATTTTTCTCGAACGCGTGCTCCAGCTTCAGCAACTGACTGGGGCTGAAGGCCGTCCTTATTCTCTTCGGCTTCCTGAATGGCTGGAGGAGAAAGCCTGGTATGTCGGGACCTGGAACGCACAGAGGCAAGAAACACACATGAATTACTCAATGTCACTCCCCGACTACGAGATGAAATTATTCTTGTGATTTATGCCACCACGCGCGAACGAAATTGTCGAGTGGGATCGCACTCGTTTTAAATTTAAAGTGCTCATTTAGTTGATATTGATATCAATTTGATATCGCCAATAACCGTGAATTTATTTTTCCACCATTTATTTTATACATTGAAATTTGCATTGTATATAACTTTTTAGATATTCCAATCTTTTCTCTACGATTTTCGTGATTGTTGGGAGAGATAAAAACAACGAATAATATTCCATTTATCATCAACAAACTGAAATAAAATATTTCGATTCAAAATTCCACGATATTTAAGAAACTCTGTAAAATTCACATTCACGAAATTCAATATAAAAAATATTCTATCAACAGCGCCATCTCTAAATGTTCACGCCAAGTGTCAACAACATTCGATAAAAAAAAAGAAAAAAAAAAAAGGAAAAAACCACCCAGAAGCTAGGGGACTAAAAATTTACCAGGCAACATCTCGACAGCGCCATCTCGAAAACCCCATAACTCATTAGCGTTAGCGATTAATTTTTAAAGGAACGTCATCGCCGCGATGTTAAGCAGCACGCAAGCAACGATTTGCTCTGATGGGGAGAGGGCAACGCGGGGGATAAAAGGATAGTATGGAGAGAAAAGTAAGAGAAAGAAAGGAAGGAAGAAAGGGGGGAAAAAAGAGAAGGGAAAGAAAGTAAAGAGAAACGAAACGAACACGAACTGCACGAGCCGCTGGCTACCTAGAAGTCCGCTCCGGGTAATTGAGTATTCCACCTCGAAAGAGTCATGTCGATCGACCGATACCCACGTCTGCCGGAAGTCGGCCGGGATACTTTTGCCCGGAAACCTCGGGACGATAAATCGCTCGATTCTCTCTCTTTCTCTCTCTCGGGCTAGCGTTTATCCCTTCCGACCTCGATCGAATTCGATTTTATTCTTTTCCCTTCTTTTCCCCCCC